AAAGCATCTGCTTCTCTTGCTGTGAGGGTTTCTCCACGTATACGCCTTTGAGCAACTAGACGAAGAGAGAAGGCTCTCTGCTGTTTGTGCCAAAGAAACACTTTCATTTGATTCCGGATACGTTTTAGTCTTCTCTCGAGCTCACAGATGTCTGAGTTGAGTAAGTCAATTCTTCTTAGTTCACGTGAAGTTGTCAGGCAGCCGAACCCCGGGAGACAGCGTAACACACGGTGTAACGGGTGCCTGTTAAGGTTCATGCGTGCCATGCGGGCAGTTAAACGCTCTCGTTCTTCCAACTTTTTGCGCAAGGCAACGGCAAGCCGAGATCGAGTTTTCATCATCCACTTGAGCTTTTCATTTGCTTCACTTAAAACCTTCATGTCCTCCTTTGTTAGATTTACGGCATCTGAAGCGGGCAACCGTAGCGCCTCCTTAAGACGTCGTAATTCTGCCTCCTCTGCGATATGCGCTAATGGATCGATAACATAAAACAGATCTGGCTTCTCAGTGGGGACGGGACGCTCATCTCTTCCATTCACAGCTTTTTTTACCGTGGCATACTGGCCCCCTCTTTCCACAGCTTGCTTCACCTTGACATGCTGCACCCCCTGTGCCACATATTGCTTCATCGTAGCATGCTGCTCTTCTACTTCTGCAGATTGCTTCGCCTTGGGACCTTCGTCGTCATTGCCACTAATATTAGCTTCTAGAAGTGAGGCTACTGTAAGGATACTGGAGCGCGCGTACTGAAGGGGAGATGTTGAAGTGCCACTGGCCCTCGCGTCGATGTCGCCTATACATCTCCTGAATGACCCTGTTTCTGCCACTGCCAGCATGCGCTCGGGGATGCCGCTACCTACCATCTGAACGAAACCCAGCTGTCGCAGACACGAGAATCCATACCAGATATAAAAAATAGTTGCTAAGAGGCTTAAGACCGCGGCAGTGTATGCCAAGTAGCAATTCTGGATGCTCGCGCATGGTGCCGTTGACCTCCTAGAAATGAAATAGAACTGGTCAGCCGGAATAAAGGAATACCCACTAGGAGCTTCGTCAACGGGCGGCGAACTGCCGTGATCGACGAACCCTCCGTCCATTACTCACAAGTAACTTGGTGCGATCTGCTCCATGGAGATACAATAAAAGCTGCAAGCATTCAATACTTTGAAAAAACTGTGCAGTACCTTGACACAGCCCATCGAAGCGCACTACATTAGGAGAAGCATCCTAGGGTTGTGCAATATGTTCTAAATCAAAGAGGTAAGCTCAAAAATTCGAAATACAAATTTTGCATGAGGAAGGGAATGAAAGTAAAGCGGTCGTTCCACCAATATACCTTTTGAAGGAGAAAAGGACTGGAGATGGGAGTGCTTGCTGTTGTGTTTTGCAAACACGGGCCCTCTCTCGCCGAAACGATGGAAGGCAATATTCCACCATTCCGTAGCATGATTCTGTGCAGTTTCTGACATGCTACTTTACCTTAGTAGTTCAACCATTGCCCCTGACTATGAGCCAAGAAGCGCGGGACTATGCTCGCGGCTGCTGGGCTCAGCTCTCCGCTCATCGGAAGGGAACACTCTCCGCGGCCGACAATGACAATGCGGTGTTTCCTGCTTCAGAAGTAGACCTAGGCCATAAAATGAGCATGTATACTAAGTGTTGCATTCTTCTGGAATGCCTTGTAAACGTCACTTGGAATTTTAGATCGACAAACTCGTGACTGGGCGATGATGAGGTGGATCATCCATTCCCATTTGCGTGCATGCTGCCTATGGAGGACCAAGTGAATGCTTAACAATTGTGTACAGTGTTAGTGTACACTGAAATTGACTGTGTTTGCATGTAAGGTTGCATTGGGCCACTAGTTGCAGCAGTTTACCTATGCTCCGCACAAACCTCAAGCTCGTGGGTTGCTGTGTCCAGGGTGCATGGGGACTGTAAGGGATACCATATGCTTTGGGGAGAAGTATTGTTGTAAATCTTGTACTTCATTGCAGCTCGCGACGGTCCTCAGCGAAGATCGGTGACCATCGCTACAGCAGCAGAGGCATTCTATCTTCGTCCACATAGCTGCCGGATTACTTTTAGCTTGCACTGCGCAGACGGGGGGAAACGCCTAGTAAGGGACCTCATTGCTATAGCCAGTGTGTGGCAACCTTTGGAGGCGCTGCAGCATGGTCTGTCTGAATTATCACCCAAGTTGTACGCACGTAGCAATGCAAGCACTAGTGGCGCGTTTACCAGTTGCTTGCTGTATTCGTACATGTATTGGACTGGGGTTGGGCATGTTTGCACGTGGCGTCGCCTTGCAACAAGAGTCGCGGCAAGCCGTGCTGCAACTCATGGCAGGCAGGCCACGAGAGTCCTGGATGTGTTCCCATGATCATTGTGAGATGCAGCAAAGTCAGAATACTCAATACCACAGTTCCTTAGAAAGTAGCTGACCTCCCTCAGCCTCCAGGCTCGCTATGCATTGCAGCGCAAGAACCTTGTGCTGCTGCGGAGCGGACGGGGCCTGCCATCAGTTGTCGCACGTCGGGTTGCAGCCTGTGCTGCACTGTAACCCCTTATGCAAACATAAACAACCAATGCTCATTCGAATGCATGCTCAAGCAATGTGCATGCATGGCCAAGGAGGTTCATCCACGACGGAAAAAAGAAGTCGCAGTGTAAAGCAACACGGTGTGGGGCAGTCTGCCTGATGTTGTTGTGATGCACACGGCATTAAGCAAGCGCATTTCCATGCATGAGTACAACAGATAAACAGAGGGCCAGTCAGTGCTCTCTGGTATTTCATCCCTAGTTAGCCAGCAGCCCTGATGATTGCAGTAGCAGAATTTGGCTGCTGGCGAGACATTCAGGCCTAGAGGTAAGCTGATGGCGAAAGCCATCGTGTGTGCTCTAGCCTTTCCAAGCTATGTACCGCTCACGCGCAAAGGCAGGCAGAAATCAGGAATATTTGACTTCCCACTGGTGATCACGGCAATGCGCTGTGCTCTTCGATTCATTCTATCCGCCCAACAAACTCAGAACATCTTCGGCTTCCATTCAATCTACCGCCCGGCTGAATTGGGGCGTTAGACTATTTTAGATGAGGGCGGCAGCTCAGCTCGTTTTCTCACACTTGCGTATGGAACGGCAGTTTCGGCATAAGGAAACGATTTTTTCCAAAGCAGAAGGACGAGCAGTCGGCCACCGGCAACGCATTGTTCGCACTGGTAGTTCTTGCTTGGGTTTACCTGACGAGATAAAAGGGCTAAGGAAGCAGTGTAAAAATGCGTATACGTCCCAACGTGTTCTTTACTTTAATTTCAAATTTGTCAGGTTAGCTGAACTCGTGGACGTTCATTGACTTTCGGTCAAGCAAAGGAAGCTCTAAGGTCCTTAATTGCCTTCTACGCGTCTCGTAATCTACTTTCCCGTCAAACGCGTTATCACCACTTGTGGAAAGGGCCGAACCAAAAAAGGCAACTAGTTTGAATAATCTCCCCCTAACTGCACACTGCTTAGTGAATGCTAAGCTACTCAAACATTGGGAAATGCAAAGTTGTAAACACAAAAAACGACGCAGTCGGGAAGCGTGATTGGAAAATTCAACGCGCCTAGCACAGCAAGCAGTACGACAGTGGCCCGATGTATAGTGCAACGGAGAGCAAAACACAGCAACAAAAAATGATATGTGGCACAAAATGGGGCACAGGAGAATGTACAGTGCAGCGGAGCATAGAGCACAACACTGCGCACATTATGGAATGCGCTGCAGCGAAGCCAACAGGGAAGCGTCGGAAACAAGAGGCAGATGAAAGCCCTCCCAGGATGCAACGCAAGTAGGAAACAATGTAAAATGCAACAAAGGCAGCAAACAGCGCATTCACTTCCATAATGAAGGACGAACAGCATGCATAAATGGACGGAAAAGGGAACACGGATTTCCCCGGAACCTAGATTAACAGAACCAGTAAACAAAAAATAACGCGGTGCGAAGTCCGACGCAATGCGGGAGCGAAACTATAGAATACCAGTTGACACACAACTTGACCTTGGGTCATCGTGAGTCAAAATACAACACTAAGTGGCCCCACGCCCACGCCCTCTTGCCACCTGCTCGTGGAGATGGCCCTGCCTTGGGACGATTACGAAGAACAGTGCTCGCCGTAGAGCCATGTATAGTGTGAATTCTTGCTGACTCAGTATGGTCTCTCTTTATAACATAGACGGCTCTACAGAATAGTTCGACTCCAGTTAAAATAATAGTTCGACTCCTGTTAAAATTTTCACCTGCATCTC